TTGCTTTTTGTCACCTCTGCTGACACTGCTGGCCAAGAATGGTGCCTTCTTTGCTGGCTCCATCCTGGCTGTGCTTATTGCCCTCACCATCTATGATGAAGATGTATTGGCTGTGGAGCATGTCCTCACCACCGTCACACTCCTGGGAGTCACGGTGACCGTGTGCAGGTGGGTCAGGGCAGCAGGTGGGAGCAAGCAGACTAACCTTCCAGGAAAGGTTTGCATCTCACCATGAGCTTGATCTCACTAGGTCCTTCATCCCAGACCAGCATATGGTGTTCTGCCCTGAGCAGCTGCTCCGTGTGATCCTCGCTCACATCCACTACATGCCTGACCACTGGCAGGGTAATGCCCACCGCTCGCAGACCCGGGACGAGTTTGCCCAGCTCTTCCAGTACAAGGCAGTGAGTGGAGTTGGAGTTAGGGCCTGCTAGAGACTGACTGGTAGCTTGGTGGTGAGGCCAAGCTCCTTCCTGCTCTCTTATGACCTTGGTCCCTTTCCTTTTAGGTTTTCATCTTGGAGGAGTTGCTGAGCCCCATTGTCACACCCCTCATCCTCATCTTCTGCTTGCGCCCACGGGCCCTGGAGATTATAGACTTCTTCCGCAACTTCACCGTGGAGGTGGTTGGTGTCGGAGATACCTGCTCCTTTGCTCAGATGGATGTTCGCCAGCATGGTCACCCCCAGGTAGCAGGAGAGAAGAGGGGCAGGTGGACAGGGATGATGCCAGTACATAGTGTCTTTGGACAAACTGCAAAAAGTCACCCTTTCTGAGCCAGCAAAAAAGGCAGCTCTCCCTCTGGCCAGCCCTGCATCAGTACTTGGTACTATTTAGGACACCACTTGGTAACCAGCAGCCTGGGCTGGATTTCAGCCCTGTTTTGCACTATTGACCAAATTCCCTTGAGAAAGGCACAACACAAGCAACTGACCCAGCATGTTGCTACCCTGGGGTGGGCATTAGGGTCCCTGGACAAGATATGACAATGCTTTATGGTCTCTGTCCTCCAGAAGGGCTTACCTTGCAAGAGGTACAGGTAGAGTGCCTATAAGAGGACAGGCTTGCTTACTATGTCTTCCCTGTGCAGTGGCTATCTGGTGGGCAGACAGAAGCCTCAGTGTACCAGCAAGCTGAAGATGGAAAGACAGAGTTGTCACTCATGCACTTTGCTATCACCAATCCTGGCTGGCAGCCACCACGTGAGAGCACAGCCTTCCTAGGCTTCCTCAAGGAACAGGTTCAGCGGGATGGAGCAGCTGCTGGCCTTGCCCAAGGGGGTCTGCTCCCTGAGAATGCCCTTTTTACATCCATCCAGTCCTTACAATCCGAGTCTGAGGTATGTTCTGGGGGACTGGGAAATGGGCAGAGTGGACTCCTCTGGAGTCGGGGATTGAGGCTATGGCATGGAATGGAAGGTTTCCTTCTGTCTGTTTAGTCTAGGCCATTGGGCCCTAAGGTATAGAATACTAGGGAACCTAGAAGCTTCTCCCCTGCTCTGAGAATTCTTCCCATCCTTTTTTTTTCATAGCCCCTGAGCCTTATTGCAAATGTGGTAGCTGGCTCATCCTGCCGGGGCCCCCCACTGCCCAGAGACCTGCAGGGCTCCAGGCATAGAGCTGAAGTTGCCTCTGCCCTGCGCTCCTTCTCCCCTCTGCAGCCTGGGCAGGCTCCCACAGGCCGGGCTCCCAGCACCATGACAGGCTCTGGGTGAGTAGAGGTGGACCAAGATGGGAGGGTATGATAGTAGTCCCAGCAACTTGTGTGGGCCTAAAGAGTGTTGATAACTAGGGCTGGGGATATAGCTCAGTGGTAGAGCACTTCCCTAGAGCACTGTGTGAGGACCTGGGTTCAATCCCTAGTACTGGGGACAAAAAAAAAAAATACTGACAACTGCTGTCTGTCTGTGCTGGGAGGGACAGGGTGGATGCCCGGACAGCCAGCTCCGGAAGCAGCGTATGGGAAGGACAGCTGCAGAGCCTGGTGCTATCAGAATACGCATCCACCGAGATGAGCCTGCATGCCCTCTATATGCACCAGGTGAGTGGGCAGCTGGAAAACAGAACAGGAGAAATCAGGCATGGGTTCTCATCCCTTCTCTGCAACTTACCTGCTCTACAATCTCCATTCTCACATATACCATCTTAATACCGTGTTAACCAAGCATACTTTCAGTGCCTTCAGTTACCTCTGCCTAGAGTTCATTCCCTGATATATCCAGATGCTCCCTTCTCCTCCTCTTGTTATTACCTACCTCCTCCTGAGACTTTTCTCTGACCACTCTCTTACAGCCTCCCTTACTGCCTTCCTGTTCTGTATTTCACTATGGCCTTTGGTACCATCTGACATACTGTATTTTTTCCTTATTTGTTTATTGTCTATACTCTGCCTAGCCACTACCATCACCAGTGTATAAACCAGGGGCTGCTGGCTTTGTCTATTTTGTTTACCACTATGTCCCAATACTTAAAAGAGTGCCTGACACTTAGACCCTTGATCAGTTTGTTCTTGAATCAAATGAATGGGTAAAATGGGAGTCCTTACCACCTATGCACAGGCTTTTCTAGGAGTCTGCTGAGAACAAACCTGTAGAGTATCAGGCATCTGGCATATACTACTATTAACACCATATGTGCCCTGGGTGAAGGATTCTAGGTGAAGGGGGTGCAAGTGGGAACTGGCTGATACCATGATGGAGGCAGCTGTTTCAGTACCCTCTGTCCCCTCAACTAATAAGCCCCTCACTTTTGCAGCTCCACAAGCAGCAGACCCAAGCTGAACCTGAGCGGCATGTGTGGCACCGCCGGGAAAGTGATGAGAGTGGAGAGAGTGCCCCTGAAGAGGGGGGAGAGGGCGCCCGGGCCCCTCAACCTATCCCTCGCTCTGCCAGCTATCCCTGTGCTACACCCAGGCCTGGAGCACCCGAGACCACTGCCCTGCATGGGGGCTTCCAGAGGCGCTATGGGGGCATCACAGGTATCCATCTGGGGATATGGAAGGAGTAAGGTTGCAGGGAAGCGTAAGTTTTTAGGGGAGGAAAGAGATCAGAAGGATGGGGCCCAAAGAGGCCAGTCCTCCGAGCAGTCCTTGAACCCATCTCCTCTTTCCTGTTTGTGTTCTTATTTGTCTGTCCAGATCCTGGCACAGTGCCCCGGGCTCCCTCTCACTTTTCCCGCCTGCCCCTTGGAGGGTGGGCTGAAGATGGGCAGCCAGCATCAAGGCACCCGGAGCCTGTGCCCGAGGAGGGCTCAGAGGATGAGCTTCCCCCTCAGGTGCACAAGGTAAGAGCTCTAGGGCTTGAGAACCACTACCAGAAGTAATAACTTCCAGGCTGAGGTGGCGGCTTCCCATGTGGAGGAACGTGTTCCCACTCTGTGCACCCTCCCCTCCAAGATATACTCCCCTTTCCTTACTCACCTGCTCTGAAGTCAAGGGCTTGCTTTTGCTTATCTTCCCAGGGAATCAAATTTCTTTTTCCTTTATATCTAGGCTCCCATGGTGCAGATATTTAAAACTATCTCCATTGCCAACCATTTTCTCTCCACAGGTATAGATAAGGCTGAGAAAGTCCTTATGCCCCAGGATGGAGGCCACCGCTGCCCTGCCATCCCATCCACTCACCATGGGAGGGCTCCTCTGAGTGTTGCCTGGCTCCATATGTGTGGTATTTGTGTGTCTGTGCCTGGCCAAGGGAGGTGCCAACACTGGGCTTGCCACAGCCCCAGGAGAAGAATTTGTGGCCTAGGAACTGGGGGCGCACAGAACTCTAGCCTCAACCCCAGGACCCCCTTGGCTCAGAGTGTGGTGCTAGAAACTTGTCCCCAGCCCAGCCCCAGTACTGCCACCTTTGCACCCACCCCTGCAAGTCTCCAGAGGGCTGCCTACCACAGAAGCTGCCAAGCAGGAAGAACCTGTGCCAACTGTGGAGTGGGGAGGTTGGGCCTGGACCCTTGACCCTTGCAGTCTACCCCCAGATGAGCAGCTCAGGCTGTGGCCCTTACCTCATCCCTAGTTCTCACCCAGTGCTACAGCCAGCTCACCTCTCTTCTGCTTCCTGCACATCACTGGCATGTGTGTGCTGCTTGCTCCCATTCTGTTCGCTTGCTCCCCTTCCATTTGGCTTTTCCTTTGTGTTGGAGTGGAGGCCCTAGCTCCCAGCTCCCTTCACTCTATCTTTTGACACTAAGAAAGGTTTCTAACTTGCAGGAGCAGTATGGAAATTCTTTGCTGCCCTCTGCAACTTTTAGGATGGGCCCCTGGGAGATGAGGCCTTCCTGGGCCCCCATTGCTGCTTATTGTATCCCTACCCCCTGCACATGGACCGGACAGGGCTGGAGTATGACCTCAACCGTCTATATCCCAGCAAGAGAGCTCTGGCCCCCATCACGCTGTTCCCTAGAGGGGGATGGAGGTGGGATGGCCTCGCCCTAGGCTTTGGGCTGCTGCATTGCATGCTGGGACTCAGCTCCTACCCTATATCCCACCCTCACCCAACCCTGGTCCGCAGCAGCAGAGTGGTGATCTCTGCTGTCAGCGCTCACAGAGGAACGGGGTGGGGACCGTGTACAGCTTGATGACCCTCAATAAAGAAGGGACTTTGACCTGGTCGTGGCTTATCTCGTGCAGCTAGGGTCCTGGAAACAAGAGGAGTGGGAGTGGGGTGCGTGCGATTCCTCCTCCTCCCTGGAGACCAGGCGGGATTTGGTAGCAAGTGGGCCCAGGCCTCAGCTAGAATACACCAAGCTTGCCGACTAAGCTGAAGGCCTGCTTCTGACCCACAGTTCGGTGGAGGTCAAGGTCTGCGTCAGACGTGCAGTCAGATTTCCCGCCCTGAGCACATGATCAAGTTGGCTCCGCCCCTCTATTTTGCCCACCTCGCGTGCCTCGTTCTTACCCCGCCCCCCGCCCGCAGAGACATTTGGCCAATAGGGACTCTGTATAGGGGGATGGGGCGGGACAGGGTGAGGGCCGCTGCGGTAGAGGGCGGTGCGAGTCTGATGTTGGGTTTTCTGTGCGCCAGCACTTGGCCGGAGGGTCCTGGACTGCGGGCGGAGGGAGCACGGGCGGAGGCGGCGTACGTGCCCTGCGTGAGTGCGTGGTGGCGGCGCGTGCGCGAAGCGAGTGGGCGGTGTGGCAGGGTCCATGTGCGTCCATTCCCCAGACCCCCGTAGCTTGGCTCCGTTTGACTCCATGACCCCAAGACACCCCGGCGTCCGTGCCTCTCCCTGAGCGGCCAGTCCGGTTCTCCGGTCCCACAGTGCTTGCAGGTTCGACCAGCAGCCACATATTGTCATGATGATTGTGGGCAACTACTGTGAAGCCGAAGGGCCCGTGGGTCCGACCTGGACTCAGGGGGGCCTGAGTCCCTGCTTCTTCTTCACGCTCGTGTCCTCGACGCTGATGGCCCTTGGGACTCTGGCCTTGGTGCTGGCTCTTCCCTGCAAGCGTCGGGAGCGACTCGTTAGCGCGGACGCTTTGTCTTGGGGGACTGGTCCCCACATCGTTCCTTACGGGCTGCAGCTGCTTCTGGCCACACTTCAGGTGGCACTGCCATTGGCTGGCCTGGTTGGCCGGGTGGGCACCGCCCGGGGGGCCCGGCTACCAGGCTACCTGCTGCTGGCTTCTGTGCTGGAGAGTCTGGCCAGTGCCTTTGGCCTGTGGCTGCTTGTGAAGGAACGGAGCCAGGCACGGCAGAGTCTCGCAATGGGCGTCTGGATCAAGTTCAGGCACAGTCCTGCTCTCCTGCTTCTCTGGACGGTGGCGTTTGCAGCTGAGAACTTGGCCCTTGTGTCTTGGAACAACCCGCAGTGGTGGTGGGCAAGGGCAGACCAGGGTCAGCAGGTGAGGGACCTTGTGGAGAGAATGGGAAGCACTAATGGCAGGGCTTGGGAAGAAGTACTGCATGTGTGGACTTACTGGCTCCATACTTTAGGATGGCTCTTAAAAAAAGAAAGGAGTGACCAGTGCCTGCTGGGTGCTGATAGCCAGCTGGTGGGGCGTGCCTGTGCTGAGTCACTGTGGTTTTTTTTTTTTTTTTTTTTTTTAAGCCTGTTAGGTGCTGGGCTCCTGAGGAGGGCTCAGTGTTATGAGAAGTAGTCAACGAGATTTTAGTGTCATTCACATTCTGTGCACATTTCATTTTAGGTTCAGTTTGGTCTGTGGGTCCTGAGATATGTGGTTTCTGGAGGGCTGTTTGTCCTGGGGCTCTGGGCCCCTGGACTTCGTCCCCAGTCCTACACCTTGCAGGTTATTGAAGAAGACCAAGATGTAGAAAGGAACCAGGTACACCTTATCTCCTGAGTCCTGAGATGTGTGTGTGTTGTGTACATGCGTGTATGCACTCTGGGTTTCCGTCCCAGGGTCTCCTGAATGCTAAACGTGCTCTACCGCTGACCTACATCTCCAAGTCCTCTGAATCCAGATGTCTATCTTTATTTAATTCCCTGTCATCATTCCCTCTCCCCATAAAGAGTTAGTTCTTTTCCCAAACATCAATTTGTGACCCAGTAGTAGCTTTCTAATCCCATAAGGGATTGCTCAGACACTTGGGAGCTATATACCCATACATTTTTCCATGGAACATTTTTGGCTAGTGAGTTTCTTTATCTCTGAGCTTCTCTCCTCTGTGTGTTATTATCCTAGGCTGGATCGACAGAACAACAGTCTACTTGGCGAGACCTTGGCAGGAAGCTTCGCCTGTTGAGTGGCTACCTATGGCCTAAGGGGAGTCCAGCTCTGCAGCTGGTTGTACTCATCTGTCTGGGGCTCATGGGCTTGGACCGAGCACTCAATGTGTTGGTCCCCATCTTCTATAGAGACATTGGTGAGGGGGAGAAGGAATACAGCTTAGCCTGCTGGTTCTTCCTTAGCCTGGTGGATGAGGTGGCTCTTACCTAGGAAGATGGGACAGAGGGAGGTGGGACAGTGGGAGCTAGGTGGTCAGAAAAGGACAGCTTGGGGCAGTTTTGCCTGAAGCAAATCCCAGGTGCCCAAGTGACCTTTTTTTTTCCATAGTGAACTTGCTGACTAAGAATGCCCCTTGGAGTTCCCTGGCCTGGACTGTTACCACCTATGTCTTCCTCAAGTTCCTCCAGGGTGGTGGCACTGGCAGTACAGGTGTGTGGGACCCTGTACTCATCCTGGTTGGCATCAATCCCTCCCATAGGCATTCCCTTACCCCTGTACCTCACTGAGGATTCCTTTCCCAGGTCCCTCTGTGCTTTTAGACCTTTCATATCTTAGTGTTGGGCTGACATCCCTCAGCCTCAAGCCCTATTGAGGCTTCCCTGCTCCCTAGGCTTTGTGAGCAACCTGCGCACGTTCCTGTGGATCCGGGTGCAGCAGTTCACATCGCGTCGTGTGGAGCTACGCCTCTTCTCCCACTTGCACGAGTTATCACTGCGTTGGCACCTGAGTCGCCGCACTGGGGAGGTGCTGAGGATTGTTGACCGGGGCACATCCAGTGTCACAGGGTTGCTCAGGTGCCACACGAGTGGAAAGGGCATTGGGAGGGTGGGACCCTGAAGCAGGGGTAGAGGAGCTATCAGAATAGACCTTGCCTGAGCTGCTACCCCTCTCACTTGGTTTATGTTTTGTTTTATAAATCATAAGGGTGATATATACACTGTTGTCATAATAACTTAATGCAGACAAGAAGAGATCTCAGTTATATCTGTGCAGACTCACAGAATTAATATACTGTGGAAAATTTTCCTAAATCAGGTTTTTAGGACATAGGTGTTGTTCTTAAGAGTTCCTTTAACAAAACCTCATGGGGGTATATTTTCATCCATGCATGAAGATATCCGCTACTCACCATAACTGATAACTTTATAGAGAATTCTGTGATTTGGGCATGCCATGGTTTATTTAGCTGTGTGTCTCTTGAAAGACATTTAGATTGATTCCAGTCTGTTGCTGTTGAAAACAAAACACTACACTAAAACTCCTAGAGGTAGGGTTGCTGGGTGTAAGCCACCAACCTTTTGTTGCTTGACTTGCCCTCTTAGCTACCTGGTGTTCAACATCATCCCCACGCTGGCTGACATCATCATTGGCATCATCTACTTCAGCATGTTCTTCAATGCCTGGTTTGGCCTCATTGTGTTTCTGTGCATGAGTCTTTACCTCAGTGAGTACTGCTGGGTGAAACCATCTCTCTGAACTATCTAGGGCTTCCTTGGCATGAGCATCACTACCCACTGTGGGGAGGCTGAGGATTGGTGGACTTGATTAGGATATGGCTCTTCCTGGCATGGTGGGCAGGTTTCCTGCTCTGTCACGTTGAACCTTAGTTCACCCTAGATGAAGGACCAGGGAGGGACATCCTTGTCACATTAGGTCCCTCCAGTGGCCTCAGGTCAAGGAGAAACTCATTTATGCAGTAAAATGCATTTCACCTTTACCTCAAGAGGTTTTCCACTCATAGGCCTTTGAGTAAGCTGCAAAGATATCTTACACGAAGCTCCTCTCCTCAGCAAGCTTAAGGCTCTCTTCCTCTTGAGTCTGGGTCCCAGGGCCCTAGTATAGGTTTAGTATGTATGGCAGGTAGTGGACATTGACGCTTAGTCTTTGTTGTTGAGGATGATGACTTATTCTCCCTGCCCCTTACCCTGTCACCCTCCAGTCCTGACTATCGTGGTCACTGAGTGGAGAACTAAGTTTCGCCGTGCCATGAACACACAGGAAAATGCCACGCGGGCACGAGCAGTGGACTCTCTGCTAAACTTCGAGACAGTAAGGGAGGCCTCAGGGGCAGTGATGAGAGGCACAGAAATATGGAGGAGGGTGGCTAAGACCACTGGGGTGATGAGGACCTAGGGTTATTGATATCTGGAATCAGGAAGGGGGATTAGAAATCAGGATGAGTGACCTGAGCGCTGTGTGCTGTTTGACTTCCTCAGGTGAAGTACTACAACGCTGAGGGTTATGAAGTGGAGCGCTACCAAGAGGCCATCATAAAGTATCAGGTGAGGATGTGAGGTATGGCCTCCTAAGAGCAGCAGGCTGGTCATCTGGGTATTGTCAGGGCTGAGAGTAGTATAGTCCAGGTGGTGAGATCGAAAGTTGGGATTTGGTGATGGTCAGAGTGTATTTGACATTCCTCGCTCCTGTGTCATTACCTTCAGGGTTTGGAGTGGAAGTCAAGCGCTTCACTGGTTTTTCTGAATCAGACCCAGAACTTGGTTATTGGACTTGGTCTCCTTGCTGGCTCCCTCCTTTGTGCATACTTTGTCAGTGAGCAGAAGCTACAGGTGAGGCAGAATCTGGAAAAAGAGAATGGGGTCAGGGAAGAGAGGGGCCTGGGGCCTGTGTCTGAGCCTCCAGGCCCATGAATGGGAAGTGGGCAGGGCAACAGGAAGAGCAACCTGCAGACCCCCTATAACTTGTCGGCTTCCCTGGGTCTCCACAGGTTGGGGACTTTGTGCTCTTTGGCACTTACATCATCCAACTATACATGCCCCTCAACTGGTTTGGCACCTATTACAGGTAATTGCTGGCTCTCACCTGTTTGATGTGTGTGTTGCTATTTCCCAGCTCCTCAGAGGAACCCCAACCCTCACCCTTCTTGCAGGATGATCCAGACCAACTTCATTGACATGGAGAACATGTTTGACCTGCTGAAAGAGGAGACAGAAGTGAGTGGAGAGAGGAGTGGGGCTTTGTTGGGTTGTTTCTTGTGTCTGGAGAGTTTTTCATTGGCTGCACTCTGCCAGGTGAAGGACCTTCCTGGAGCAGGGCCCCTTCACTTTCAAAAGGGCCAGATTGAGTTTGAGAATGTGCACTTCAGCTATGCTAATGGGTAAGCCCTCCTCTTTTGCCTTCTTTCCTTTCCCCTTATCCATTTGCACACTGCCTTCCTGCCCCTGGTCCTGCTCTGAACCTTGGCTTTGCAGCTTACCACTACCAAGGAAGAGAGCCTAGGTGGGGGAGGGCAGCACCCGGTAGTGGCTCTAGTAATTGGAATAGCCTGCTGACCCCTCCCATACTTCTCTGCAGGCGGGAGACCCTGCAGGACGTGTCCTTCACTGTGATGCCTGGACAGACACTGGCCCTGGTGAGAAGACACCCAGCCACTTGGCTCATACTTCTTGAGCTTCTCTCATTCAGTGCCTGTGGCTCATGACCCGGACTAGGAGTCAGAGCCTTGTTATAATGCAACAGGAATGAATGTGATAGACTTCATGGGTTTTGGTTGCCTGTTGGAGCCTTAAAAGACCTGGGTGGACCTGAGTGTTTCCCTGTGTTTCCAATGCTACAGGTGGGCCCATCTGGGGCAGGGAAGAGCACAATTTTGCGCCTTCTGTTTCGTTTCTATGACATTAATTCTGGCTGTATCCGAATAGATGGGCAGGACATTTCACAGGTAAGGTTGCTGGGGACAAGACCATAATTTAGAGGCCTGTGTATAGAATACATGATACACATCTTCTGTAGTGGTCCAGGAAAGCAAAGCAGTGGCAGCATATTTATTTCTATGGATGGAGAGAGGTGAGAGAGGGTGAATGATTTGCCCACCCAGCTAGCATTTGCAGTGGTGATGGCAGGATTCCAATCTTGGACCTCTTAGCCCTTGTGCTTCCTGCCATCCCATTCTACATCCCAGGCCTAGGGGATCTCACAGGGTGTGATATATAGTCTTTTGGCCCCAGGTGACCCAGACCTCTCTCCGATCCCACATTGGAGTTGTGCCCCAGGATACTGTCCTCTTCAATGACACTATTGCCAACAATATCCGTTATGGCCGTGTCACAGCAGAGAACAACGAGGTAGAAGCTGCCGCACAGGCTGCAGGCATCCATGATGCTATCATGACATTCCCTGAAGGTGAGGTACCTCTGCAGAGTCCCCTCCCCTGCCCAGTGTAGTCCTCTTAATGCTTCTGATCTCTGGTTACAGATACTAAGTTTATTATATGTGACTTGAGGGAGGTGGGCATATCCACAGGGTACGAGACCCAGGTGGGTGAGCGGGGACTGAAGCTAAGCGGTGGGGAGAAGCAGCGAGTTGCCATTGCTCGCACCATTCTCAAAGCTCCAGACATCATTCTGCTGGATGAGGTGAGGCCCAGCACCCTTCTTCCCTCTGTTCTCCCTCTCTGTGCCCAAGCCACTTCTGCTAGGCATTTTCCCACCTGCCATAGGCATCACCCATCTGTTTCACCAAAACCCTTTATGGTTCTCAAGCCCAAACTCTTTTATTTCCTGAGCCTCGGGTAGCAAGCAGCCTGCATCCTCCTCCCATTGGGATCTTTGGGTGGCAGGGACATTTTACCCAGACCCTCTCTGTAGGCAACTTCAGCCCTGGATACGTCTAATGAGAGGGCCATCCAGGCTTCTCTGGCCAAAGTATGCGCCAACCGCACCACCATCGTGGTGGCACACAGGTACAGGACTACCAGACCTGGGTGGCTGGCAGTGTGTGTCACTTCTGGTGCAGTGGCAGATAACTGATCTCTTGAGTTTTTTTTAGGCTTTCCACTGTGGTCAATGCTGATCAGATCCTTGTCATTAAAGATGGCTGCATCGTGGAGAGAGGACGGTGAGGATGAACAGGGGAGGGGCTTCTAGAGGGGGGGTCCCTTGCCTGTCCCCTTTTTCCTCTCATCCCACTTTCTCTACAGTGAAACTTACGGTTGGTGCTTACACTTGCTTCCTCACCCCAGGCATGAGGCACTATTGTCCCGAGGCGGGGTATATGCTGATATGTGGCAGCTGCAGCAACAGGGACAAGAAGAAGCCTCTGAAGACACTAAGCCCCAGACCATGGCACAGTGACAAAAGTTGTGGTTTCTTCCCTCTCACACACTAACTCAGGGGAATAAGATGTGTCCCTTTTCCCTGGCTTATTTCATCCTGGTCAGGGGTTTGGTGCTAGCTGTTATGAGGGAAAGGGGCCTTTTAGAAAAGCACTTTTTGGGAAAATAAATGTGTGGCATGTGCGAGATCACTGTGGCTTTGTCTGTGGGGAATTGTGAGGGACCTCTGTTCTTAACAGAGCATTTCTGACATTTACTGTCTTGGTTAGAGAAGGAAAAGACACACATCACTTGGATATCATATTAACTGCCAAGGTCTTTATTCTTTCCAGGCCCCTCCCTGCCCACTACCTATGTGGGGCAGCCCCCAGGCAAGGGGATGACATAATGAAGGGGGCTGAGAGTGGGGCTTGGCTAGCACCCACCAAGGGCCCAACCAGAAAATGGTTCTCAGTTACTTTTTTCCTGCAGCAGAAGAGCTAGCAGGACCTTTCATAGGCTCAGCTCGGCAAGCCTTCTGGTGCTCCTGGGAGCGGCCTCCGCCTCACTTCTGCTTCTCTCTGCACTCCAGGTTGCTGTGCGCCTCCTCTCTCTGTGTACCCTGGAGGTGTGAGGGCCACAGTCCTTCTCAGCTGAGCCTCCCTCCCCAAGCCCAGGACCCTAGCACAGGCTGCAGTTGGACGGCTTCAAGCTGCGGCTCTGCGCCTGGAGCAAGGAGGGGGAGGAGGAGGAGGAGAGAGGGTACAAAAGTCAAGGAAAAAAGAGGAAAGGCCTCATTTCAGAACTTAGCATGGGCTGGGGTCACACTGAAAGCAAAAGGATAACCATCATCCCAGCACTCTCCAGCACTTGGAGGAATACCCCCTATACACAGCTTCTTACTCCCTAGTAGCTCAGGGCCTCATATTTATCACACTATCCTCATACCTGCTGCCGTTGGTATTCTGCCTCACTGGCAGATAGTGCTTGAGCTAAAGCCAAGTCTTCTTCCTCCTGAGAACTAAGAGAAACAACTTGAGTTGGATGACAGTAATATCTAAAATTCAATCATCCAGTCTGCTAGGCACCATGGTGCTGAGCACCTCTAGGTATTACTGCAGTCTTCATAGCAATCCAGGATGGATGCCAGTATTGTCCCCATTGTATAAAGACAATGAAAGAACTGGTCAAAAGTTATCTTGAGCCCAATTTCTTATTATCTTGTATTGGGTCAGAGAGGTCTCCCCTCCCTCCAGACTGAAACCTTGTCTATGTCCTACTCTCTCTCTTTCACCAGAGTAGATAGATACCTTGGGATTTGGGGTTTGGTCTCTGCCAGAGATAGTTCCAGGGCACGTTGCAGAGCCTCATCCTCACTCTACAAAGGAAGATATAAGACAAGTTTCCTTGGACATTACTCTCTACCTGGGTTTGCTTCTGTCCATCCAACCTTGCCCAACTCACCAAGCCATTCTGCAAAGTAATCACTGGAGGGACTGTCCGGGACGGAGATTGGGTTGTGGCTCTATGGCAGACATATAAGAGGCTGAGATCAGAGATGTGAAGGGGAAAAGGGGGAGGGGAGAAATGGGCAAGCCTACCTGCTGGGAGAAGTAGAGGAAGGTAAAGTCCGACTTGGGCTAGGAATGGTGCTTGCAGAAGAAGCCAGACCTTGTGATCTGGAAATGGCAGCAAGTCTGTAGGGAAACCAGTCTTGGCATGCCTCTAAGAACATGCCTTACCCAGGAAATCAGAAAATGAGTTCCTCTAGTTTGAAAAAGAAGCTAAAAGATTCCCTTGGCCAATGAGGACAGGGTTGAAGCTTCCCAATTTGTAGTAATAGAGATCGAATCAGTTGAACAATTACCCTGCCTTGCTGGTTGGGTGCCCCTCCCCAGAGCAATCATGGTCCAGTGGGTGTCGGTGCTTGATGCAGAAGTTTCGGCCACAGCGCTCACAGGTCAGTTTCATCATCTCCCGCTGCCGGCAGCCAGAGCGTTCACACTTGTTGGTGAAGATCTGAGGTGAGTTGGAAAAGTTTAAGTCTGAGATTCTACCCCTTCTCCAGCCCCATCACTGGAGTTCACTGTTTAGATTTGCAGGCACTGGTAATCCCAGCTGGATCACGGTTAACCCTTCAATCACTGACCTTGCGTTTTTGCTGTGCTGGATCAGAGCGACAGTCTCTGTCGATGTGCTCTCCCACAGCCCGGTCAGGGGGCTCCCCTCTGGCCACAGGCACAGGTACATTACACAGGGGACACACGGGTACCTGGATATCCTATAGTCAAGGGGCAGGAGTCAGTCTGTGGCCCACTCCCAGTGCAACAAATCTCTGATCCTGAAAGAACTTTGATATACCCCCCCACTAGTGCACAAGAAAACCCAATGTTCCCCAGTATTGAGCCTCAAAAAGACAATAACAGGGAAAATGTAGGGCAGATTCTGAGATTCTGAATGCATTCACCATCTGCCCCCTCTCACCCTCACGATCGCCCCCTCACCTTTTGGTAAGCGGATCCACAGTGATGCTGGGCGTAGGCCACGTGGTCTGCACAGAAGATGCCTGAGCAGGCATCGCACTTGAGCGGCAGAAAATCTGCAGGAAGTGGATCGGATTGTAGGTCTAGCAGGACCTGGCTGTCCTTTCTTCTCACTCAAGGCTGCCACTCGGGAAGAAAAACGCCACCCTATTGGCAACACACTGCACCCCTTCCCTAGTCCACTACCTTTTGCCACGCCCCCTCGCCACCGCCCCCAACTTCGAGCTCCGCCCTTCTCTGACATTGCCAGCCCCGTACCCCTCCCTTCTTACCCCACCTGCAGTCCCAAGCCCTTTTCTGCTCCGCCCGCCTCCCCGCGCCCTCCGCCTCTCACCCAAGCGCTGACAGCTCGGCTCGGAACAGTGAGCCCCAAGGTCCGGGAACTCCATTGCCGGGCCGGGCGGAGCCTGCCGGGGTAAGAAGCGAGGGCTGAGCTTCCCTAGGACCCTCACTCCGGATCGGAACCACCACCCTGCACTCAGGAGGGGGCTCCCGGTCCCGCCCCTTCCTCTCCCCCTCCCAGCCTGCGTTACCAGAGCCTCTGGGCTGCGGGTCCACCGCTCCCACTCTTCCTTGGGCGCGCGCGAGCGCGATGACGTCATCACGCAGTGCGGCCCGCGTCTGGCCCGCGCAGTTTCTGGGCAGAGTCGGGAGAGAGCCATCAGAGCCCCGCCTCTCGCCGTGCAGGTCCAGGAGTTGGGTTCCAGTCTGAGGTCCGTGGGTTGCCGCGCACCGGTCTGGGATCCTGAGCTCTGCCGTAACTCCGGGAAGGATCTTTCTCAGTCCTCAGGGATGAGCGGAAGGAACGGTGACGGCGAGGACAAATGCTCTTTTGGGGACAAGGGCTGGCTGGGATAGTCTGGAATCAGGCTTTTCACAATTTGGTCTCTGGCCAGATTCTCATTCCACGCCCTCCCGCTGGCCATTTCATTCATGTCCAAGGTTTACCTACTCTTCAGGAGCTGACAGCTCTCATAATTCTTTGCAGTGCAGATCCCTCTCCAGAACTACAGATCCCTCCTCCAGGTCTCAGCTTTGATGCCGTCCTCTGAGACTTCTCTGACTCTTCTCATTCTGAGCGAGGCGCACTTTCTATGCCATCTCTCTTCCAGCATCCATAGCACCTCACTGTAATCAGCTCTGCAACCCCTGCACACATAAATATACTTGGGAGTTGGGGACCATGTCTATTCTGTGTCAGGTCCCAACACCTAACAGTGTCTGTAAGAGATTTCAGACTTGTATGTGAAGCCAAATCACTACGGAACTATTTTAAAATGCAGATTCTGGGGCCCAGAGCTTCTGAATCAGTAGGAAGCACGTGAAATAATTCATTTTATTTTTTGGTACTGGAGATTGAACCTAGGGGCACTCAACCACTGAGCCACATCCTAAACCCTTTTTATTTTTATTTTTTTTTTATTTTGAGACAGGGTCTTGCTAAGTTGCTTAGGGCCTCACTAAATTGCTGAGGCTGGCTTAGTACTTGGGATCTTCCTGCTTCAGCTTCCGGAGCCGCTGGGATTACTGGCTTTAGCCACCACGGCCAGCACATGAAGGAGTTCTGACACAAATTACCCATGCACCACATTTGGAAAACACTAGCTAGAATATTCTTAATGTATCTGGAATGTTTCTTGAATGAAGTGTGGGCATATTAGATTGGTTGCTGCTTTTTTAGGAGCCCCAGTTTGAGTCTTTCCAACCTCAGCATACTTTGCTGCTTAACTGCCTCTGACTCCTCCTGTATGGGGTAGTTGTTTCTCTCCCTCTCTCTCTTTCTCTCTCCCTCTTTGTTGTTATTATTATTATTATTTTGGTAGTGTGAGGAATTGAGCCTAGGGCCTCACACATGCTAAGCAAGCACGCTACTGCTGAGAGCTATATCCTCTTCTTTTGAGTTGGTGACTCTATCCCCCCATAAATCTAGGCATGGGGATAAGTTAACAGAGGAAATAAGCTCAAGAGTTCAGTTGCCCTCCAGAATGGAGAGATAAGCTAGGCTACAATTGAAAGTGAGGGCGAGGCCAGGTGGCGAATGCCTGTAATCCTGGTGGCTTGGGAGGCTGAGGCAGGAGGATCTCAAGTATAAAGCCAGCTTCAGCAACCAGCAAGGTACTAAGCAATTCATTGAGACCCTGTCTCTAAAATAAAATAGAAAATAGGGCTGGGGATGTGGCTCAATGGTCGAGTGCCTTTGGGGCTTAGCGTAACACACTTGCCTGGCATGTGTGAGGCACTTGGTTTGATTCTCAGCACCACATATAAATAAATAAAATAAAGGTCTATCAGCAACTAAAAAAAGAAAGAAAGAAAGAAAAGACAAAGAAAATGAGGAACCAGTCTCTTAGTCTTTAGTCTTTCAGAAATGCTGAGGCTGTGCTTTGAAGTGGACTCATGCATGGCCCCTGTCCACTGTAGCAGCAGCTAAAGTCAGAAATGGGTCTGGCAGATATGACTGCTGCATCTAGCCAATGAGATTCATGAAGATATGACGACTACAACTAAAAAATAAATACTTAAAATAAAAGATTGAACCTGTAACATACAAGCCATCTGCCATATAACCACACTGTCATAGGAACCAAGAACCAGGAAAAAAGACTTTTTTTGAGGTGGGTACCAGGGATTGAACTCAGGCACTTGACCCCTGTGCCACATTCCCAGCCCTACATTGTATTTTATTTAGAGACAGGGTCTCACTGAGTTGCTTAGTGCCTTGCTTTTGCTGAGGCTGGGTTTGACCTCAGATCCTCCTGTCTCAGCCTCCCATGCCGATGGGATTACAGGCGTTTGCCACTGTGCCCAGCTGGAAAAGAGACTCTTATCTACAATACCTCTGACTAATGGGACACTTGAGCTCCATAAAAAAAAAAAGTTGATATTGTAGCTTACACCCATGGATTTAAGTCATGTAATTATGTGACTCTTTTTTCTCCTCTCAAAGTCTATGAACAAAGTATGGCTAACCGCCATCACTCACTGATTTCACTTGTTTCTTTTAAGATTGTTACAAGTCATTTCACTAGATTAATCCTATTGCTCAAGATTTGTCAGAATCTCTGGTCACAACTTGAAGTCAAAGCTAATGACATGTTGGAGACTCTATCCAGGTGTGCACTTAAGGGTCCTCTGCCATGGGAATTCAGCTTTGGCACCAGCCCCTTAAAAGGACAATTTCTAGACTGGGGTTGTCACTCAGTGGTAAAGTGCTTGCCTGGCATGTGTGAGGCACTGGGTTAGATCCTTAGCACCACATAAAAATAAATAAATAAAATAAAGATTATGTTCATCTACAACTAAAAAATATTTTTTTTAAAAAGAGAACAGTTACTGAAGAGCTCAGTGTTCATAAATTCTGAGAGTACCATTTATGAAATTCAGCATCCATTCTTTTAGATTAAAACATGAAATTGGTAATATTTGACCATTTTTATACTTAAATTGTTTTCCCAATGTGGTTTAACTAATCTAAGCATCATATGTTACTGACAAGAATTATTTTTTCTGACCTATCTAATCTTCAGCCTGCTAGGTGTCAGAGTGCAGACATAAAAGCAAACACTCTCTGTGTGGAAGTGTGATTTAAAGTCCATTGGGGCTGGGATTGTGGCTCAGCGGTAGAGCGCTCACCTAGCATGGGTGGGGCCCGGGTTCGATCCTCAGCACTGCCGCAGTCTGGCTGGGCACAAAATCACAAGCCACTCAAGCAGGAACAAACTTTATTATTTTTTTGAAACTGCCGCCAATGTCCGGTACGCACCCGGGAAGATTTTTTCCACCCACGCGCCCTCCTCCCGGACCGCAGAGAGAGCTCCTCCCCCGGAACTCCCTCCTACTGTACTTCCCCAACCGATGGGAACTCTCCAGGAGTCCCGTAGCCGGCCTAGGTGAACAGCAGGAGTCCAATATCCATATGAATGCAAATCTTAACATAATCATATCATCTCAATGGCTAGCTGGCGTCACCTTTCGACCAAAAATGCCATGCATCATATACTTGGCTCTTAGCAAGCACCACATAAAAATAAAGGCATTGTGTTGTGTCCATCTACACCTAAAAAAATAAATATTAAAAAAAAAAGTCCGTGCACCATGGGGTTGGGGATGTAGCTCAGTGTCAGAGCGCTTGCCTAGCATGCATAAAGCCCTGGGTTCAATTCCCAGTACTGTAAAATAAATAAATAAAAATCAGATATACTAAATGTCTATGTACTTTATCCTCAGACATTTAACTAACAGGGCAAGAGAAGAGGGTACTAGGTAGGATATATGTTAAACTGCTATAAAAGAAACTCAAAATAACAAGAGCTAAACAACAAACAAGTTTAATTTCTTGCTTGTGTAATAATCCAGGGCTGGTATGACAATATCTGTCAGGAACCCAGGTGCCTCCTATTTTGTTACTTCTCCATCCCTATGATTGTTTTTGTACCTGTGGTTCCAGATAAGGAAGCAGAATGGGCGGCGGGGGGTGGGTGCAGGGAGGACACACTTCTTCCATTTATGGGCCAGACCCTAAGTCTGCATTAATCACTTCTGCACATCTTGCCCTGGCCAGTGTTTAGTTGATATGATCTACCTGGCTCCAGGGAAGTAGGAAATAGAGTCTTTAACTAAGTGGCCTCATGCCCAGGTAAAATTTCAATGATTATGTCAGTGAAGGAAAACAGAGTTGGGAGACAACTAGTGTCATAAAGGCATCTAAAGAATGACTTTTATGCTATGTAGACCATCCTAAATTTGAAATAATAAGGCAGGTGTTAGGTCATGTAAAGTCACACAGCAGCCAAAATTGTGAAAGGCATTTATGTTAGCTCATGTTTTTTGAGGATAAGAACAACAGGATTCAGTGCCACTTTGTCAATATCCTGCTGTGGCACACTGTGTACCCAGCAACCACTTCCCAGCTCCCTCCCTTAAGGACAAAACACTGATTTTAATCATCATACACCAAGCAATGATGTTTTGCAACTCTTTTTACAGCCCCAGGGATGTCTTTAAATGATTTAAGTTAGTGTTGTTTAAGCTTTTTTAACCATTACCCATATTAGGAATTGCATTTTATTTCCAACACACACACACAGACACACACACACACACACAAACACACACATGCATGGTCATGAAATTAGTACTTGACCTTATGTTTGATAAAAATGCTGGTTGCTATACACTGTTGACTTCCCATCTCACCTTCCCATTAATGAGTTGCAACCTGTAGTTTGAAGAAAAAAAATGTTCTAAGCCAAAACTGCCCTCATTCCCCATGGGTAAAGCATATAACAATATGGGTATGAAAGAAAAAAATACTGCAAGCTTTCTCTCTCTCTCTCTCTCTCTCTCTCTCTCTCTCTCTCTCTCTCTCTCCCCCTCCCAACCCCCTCAGGTGCTAGGAATCAAACACATGCTGTACCACTGAGCCATACACCCAGTCCTTTGTTTTAATAAACAAATATTAGATTTTACATAATTATTTTCAAGTCAAACTGTGATCAGCTGGATTCAAGAACTGCACTTCTTCATTTGTTTATCTTAACATTCGTCAGCAGCTTTAGAACTGAAGGCTTCCCGTTGGGGGACCTTGGAATGGAGCAGACATAATAAAGTCAAACACTGCCCCTCTCCCTGCTCCAGGCTACCAA